GCTACTAGAGTTTAGAGATAGTTTTCGGAGGAATGGCGGGGATAAAAAATTTGAAATTTTATATTTTAATGATATATGTTATAGCATAAGTATGATAGAGATTGTTTCTACTTGTGGCGAAAGATACTTTACCTTTAATGATAGTAGGCTTGAGTTAAATTGGGAATTGTTTCAATAGAAATGAAATATTTGAATTTTTTCGTATAGTATAAATTAGTACAAATTCAGTTTGCATTTCTATCCATATTTCCTTTTTTTCTTTCTTCTTTTTTGATGTAGTCCTGCTAGCTTAATACTAAGCTAAACAGTGCCACGTTTTCTTTCAATACGGAATACATAATTTTTATTGATAGTACAAATTAAAACAAAATGGATTCTAAATAATACTGAATAGATCTGGTTTGATTTTGCTAATTTGAAATCCTAATAGTTTGATAGAAATGTCTAGCACTATAATATTTTCTGTGTTCATTTCCTATAATTTTCTACTCGAACTTTATGTACTATCGATGCATTTTTTAATTAAAAACGTATATTTCATCACAACTTTAAAACTGAAAAATTTCTTATTATTATTATTATTAAAATAAAAAACAATGTATAGAATGTGATATATAATGTAAAACAAAATTAATTAAAGATTACACATATATATATATATTTATCTATCAATAATTAAGAAATTTTTTGTAATTGTTTGTCAATTTAGACTCTTAAAATATAAAATGAAAAAAAAATGAAGAGAATGAAAAATTTGTAGAACATATAACAACATGAAATCACATGAAACATCAAATTAATGTCAAATTATACATGATTTGAGATTGTATTTTTCTAACATTAAACTTAAAAATTTAATATTACATTTTTACATTAATCAAAATTTTTATGCCAATTTAAAATTTTAATAATAAAGCTTTTAATATCAATATGATAAATAGTTAAATTTCCTCTCATAAATTGTTTTCATATAAAAATATTTGTATTTTTCAAATTTTTTTTTATAAAAGATAATACCAGAAATTTGATATGAATAAAATAAAAATAGTCGAAAAAAGTTAAAATTTATAAGTGATTTTATGATTCCCAATATGTTAACCCAATATGTTAACCTTTATTATTTTTTAAACTAATTACTATCCAACTGGTAAAATTTGCAGAATATTCCGGGAATAATGAGCAATCTCCAATGAATATCAGATACAAGTCAGATAGAGATCATTTCATTTTTATAAAATATCAAGATATTTATCTTAATACAGATTGTTTATATTGTAGATTTTAATATGTGATAACTATTCTTATATTATCTACTTGTTTAAATTAGTGTGACAGATTTTTTCGATAACACAAAAACAGAAGTGGCTCATTTTCTTAAACTTTTTTTTCAATTAAAAAAATTTTTTTAGATTTTATACATCATTTTCTAAGAAAAAAGATTCATCTTCCAAAAATATTAACACAAATCTTCCTTACTTCCAAAAATACTAACAGTTTTCGAGAAGAACACATTTGATTGATACAAGATAAATTTTTTATTCGCATAATAAAATAGTAATTTCACATAATGTAAGATTGAATTCACTTTGTTTACCGTTAAAGTTTTTGTTGAAAGCGGTACGCTTTCACTATAGAGGTCTCCTTTTTGAGAAAGATGTAGAAAATCTAAAAAAGATATTCGAAAATTAAAAATTCCATTTACTTCAAAATTTTGGAGACTAAAAGATTTAAAGAAGATTCGCCTCTGATTTTTTTTTCCAATGATATGATATATAAAAATTATAATACACTATTTTAATTTTACTTAATATAGAAATAATTATTAAAAATCATCAAAATCTATAGTAAAGAAGTTATTTAAGAGAAATGTTTCTGAAATACAAATTTTGAAGACAAATATTTAGGAAAAGGTGCGTCATAAGAAAAAAATGTATAAAATGTACATTTTTATCAAATCTGTATGCCGACAAATGATCGCCCATTTTTATAAGACACTTTGTATATCAATTTTTTCCAACATATCTGCCAAATGCCAATAAAATTCAGTAAAATTAAAAGATAATATTTATAACTTCCTCGTTAATAAAAATTATTTAAACAAAGAGAAAGACTTCTGCTTTTCTCGACGATAATTTTCACATAGTTTTATATCTAATTTTTTAAAAATGATTTATATTTAAGAATTATTTCTATTTTTATACATTTATTATGATCATTGATTAAGCAGAATCCGTCGGGCACAGAATTCTTAAATCCGCCGGATATCTTACAGAAGATGGAGCGAATAACTCTTAAGATTGTATCGTAAAATGGCGGTTGCTAAACAAAATCTATCGCAAAGTCTTGAAGCTTTGCACGACAACAAATTAATGTTGGATGTTGGAAGAGATATCAGCGGACGTACCTGTTCTGTGCTTGCGAGTAGTTGATATACATTTTGGTACGTATCGTTCTCGATCGATAGGAAAATTGTCAGACTTTTGAAACTGTGATCGAGAATGACAACTGCCAAACGTCTGAAATCGTAGACGTCGAGGAACTCCCGAACTTCCGAACTTCCGAACTCTCGAACTCCCGAACTCCCTCCTCCACGATCTCGAATGCTGTCGCGCGAGCGATAAAACTCACGGACGAGCGTATTTCGATACGCTTTACAGCGCGATACAGTTCGGTTCGACTCGACAGCAAATCCACGGACTCAACCCACAGGAACCGGCGAACGGAGCTGCTAATGGCTGACAAGCTCCGACAGGACGGAAACGGCAGACTAGTGCAGTGCCGTACATACGTACGAGCGATATAATATTTCGATTCGATTCGCGCAACATCGACCCAAACTGCGGACATGCGCGATAGAGGTAGACGCGAAGTTGCGCTGCACGCTGCATGCGCAACACTTTAGTTTGCGGCACGATGGATCGATCGTTCTTCGAGGTGTACAGATTTAGATAGGCTTAGAGCTGTTAAGGCTATTGTACATGAACAAATTTTAGTTGTAGTCATAAAATTATAGAGGAAATTGATCAACGAGAATATTAATTATACTTCCTACGGTCTAAAAATAGTCCAAAAACATTTGTGATTGGTCAATTTGCTTACTTAACTTTTAACGATTGTAATTAAAATTTCCTTATATGCACTGACTATTAGAGCCACTTTCACCAACTCCGGTTAATTATAATTGTCTGATTATTTTACTGAAATTAATAAATCGTATTTGTTATTAAATTTGTAGACAAATCGCGAGTGGTCAATTCCAATGGAATAACCGGCCTATATTAAATTGCAACAAGAACTGTCCAATCAGAACTCAGCGATATAAATTCTCTACATAACTTACAATAATATAAAAGGTTACAAGTACGAGACAAGGGAGATAGAGGGCCTGTGCTGTAACCCGAGGGAGGTTGAAGGCGCTTATCCGTTCTCGTCCGGGAACATCAAACAAAAAAAACAAAAACAAAAAACACAAAACAAAAAAAAGGTTAACAGGTAAACGTTAAACAGACTAAATCATTGTAATTGGTCAACAGGAACAGGCAATAAGGAATAGAAATTCAATGCGTCAATATTTATATATAATAAAATACGCTTATATACGCTTATATACGCTAAAATAAAATTTTATCATTTTAAATATTAGAATGATAAAATCGTATATTGTACAATTATATAAACTTACCACAGTTGAGGTACAAGTGGACATTCATATAAATTAAAGATTGGTCTTTTAAATACAAGATTTTTATGAAACATGAATAACCATTCTTGTAGCTAATCTTTGATTAATAATCTATAAACGATAGTCTTTCTATACAAATCGCAGCTTTAACTGTAGAAAAAACAAATACACAGCGTGATTTAGAATAAACGATTTGTCATTCAAAAGATATATTCCTAATTGTATAATTTTACCTCTTAAAATTTATCCAAATCTTATATCTTGAATTATAAAAAGAAATAATTTATTTAAAAAATGCAGAAGGTAAATAAGAACAGCAAAACTGTTGAGTTTTTTAAAATATACGGATCATATCATATTTAATTTTTTTAGATTAAATAAAATATCGAGAAACGGAAAATACTTGGAAAATAAAATATTATTTTATGTATTTTAAATATGTACAGATAACGTATTTTTATTTGTATAAATTATTAAGTCCTTATTCATGTATTACATATTTTATTTATAATTCAAGAAATTCAAATTATTTCAAAAATTTGTATATAATAATATTTTCATAATATTATTTTACCTCAATTTTACCCCTATTTTACCTTTTTACAATAATTATTACTTTATCTTCTTGCAATATTTGTCTTCTAGTTCGTCTAATTTGAAATCAAGTTCTGCCATAGAATAAGTCTAAAATATGTACACATTAATATTGTTACGCGTCGTTATATGTATAAATATCTAATTTACAAGAATACATAAAATCTGTAATTATATTCTCAATTTCTTTCTTATACATAAATTACAATGTAAACATTAAAGAAAAAAAAAATATATAAATACAGAAATTGTTACAAAAAATAAATTTGATAAATAATACAAAACAAAAGAAATGATATCTAACTTCATTTGATATATAATTATAATACTTATATAATGCATGAAATACTTACTCGTTTCTGAATAGGCTTTGAGATATCTTTCAAATTATTCATTTGCTCTGTTACCTATAGTAAATGTAAAATTATACGTTATGTATATTATATATTTATAATTATAAAGATAAAAATTAGGTTTTAATTAATTTAGATATGTGTATAATATAGATTGCATATAAAAACAATTATTTTTAAATATACAGAGTAATGGAAGTGTAGAGATGTAAGTAAAGAGATGTAAGTAAATGCATAATGCAAATGTGTAAAAATATAAAACTTCAAATTTATGAGCGTGTAAAACTGAGTATGTAGCTATATGTTTATAATATCAACCCAAGGATTACTCATCATTAAAGCTATCATCATTAAAGCTATTGATACAAAATCAACCATATAGAGATGATGATGATGATGATGATGGAGATGATCAAGATATTTCTTAATAAGAAATTTATACATTTCAATTTTGCATCGTAATATCTCCGCCCATAGGGGGGACATATTACATAGAGAAAAATAAAGAAATTATTCTGTATGATACCACTTGAACTCAAGCTATCGATTAAATATACTGATTGTAAGAATTTGATCCGTCAAGATATAATTCTGAGATTGGTAATCTCAGGTAATGTTAAAGTATTTTTATTATTATTACAATTATTTCATTATTGTTTTAATTTATTACTTTAAATTTATTCAATTCCATTTTCATTCTTTATTCAAAAGACAATGTCAATAGCACTGTCATAAATTCCTTTCAAAACTCTGTAATTTTTATCAGAGACATTATAAAAATATATACATAACATTAAGTTTAGGAAATATATAGCTATTTTTATTAAAATAAGACATTTTGTTTGCATATACATACGTGTGTGTGTGTGTGTGTGTGTGTGTGTGTGTGCGTGTGTGCGCATATTTACACACACACGAATTAAAATAAAGAATAAAATTGGTATACCCAAAATTCTTTATATTCCGGTGATATACTTTCTAAATATAATATTCGATCTTCAATGTTTTTCAATCTTTTGTAAATATCTTTAGGTACTGGTTTATTAATTCCTATTATACGTTCTGTCGCAGAAATTCTATCATCCAATATAGGAGAGTAGTCAGAAGCATTAATTGTAACTGAGTTGGATAAAATTGATCGATCAATAGTTTGAGGTCCCCACGTATTTAGTACTCTGTGAACTAAAAATAATCACAAATATATCTTATAGATTCCATTATTAAACTTTTTTGCATGCTCTTTAGTATGTTACAACCGAATAGTGATCCGCTTCCCTTCTTTCTTTTATTAAACGATCTCATCATTTTGCGAATAAAAGCGAGTGAATTGTGCGAGTACTCGCGGGGAGTGCGACATTTTTATAAAAAAGTAAAATAAATAAATGAATAAAAGGCAAATATTCCTACATTTAAGATACCGATTAAAAACTCAATTAAGCAAGTTAACTATTATTCGTAATTAGAACTTGATTATGTACAATTTATTCGTATATTAAATATCATAAAATATTAAATATCATAAAACATCAAATATAGTATATCGATATAGCAATATCTCAATATTTCGTGTGGATTATACACAAATATTTAAAACTTGCATCATGTAGCATATAGCTATATGAGGACAAAAAAATCTTATGGAAATAATTATTAGGGAATCATGCATATAAAACTTCTTTCGACAAAAGAGTGAAGAGTAAGTTATGAAATATATCAATATAAATGAAATTGTAAGATTTTGGAAAATTTTATAACTAATCTAATAAATATCTTCGTAGAAACTAAAGAAAAAATATAAAAAAACAAAACAAATAAAATATATATTAAACAAATACAAAATGGTAAAAAATAGAAAGATTAAAAATAATATTATTTTGCATTTATACCTTTTACATGACTTTTAGAATCTTTGCGTTGAATGAGAATAGCATTTACTCTTGCACAAGAATTTTCGTTATCGCTATATTTTTCACTGCAAAATAATTAAATTTATTAAAAAATTTATAAAAAATTAAATTTATTAAGTAATTAAATTTATATATATTAATTAGAATTTTAATAATTATATTAATTACATACATATGTAATTTATTTTTTAGGGTCTCTAATTATCTCCTGAGTGATTGATCTCCACTTTTAAAATTATATACCTTGGCTACGGGAAGAGCTACGTACTATCGCACTCGAGAAGAGTACTATCGCATTCTATTTTTAATTTACATCTAATTAGCGATAAAGATGAAATGATGAAATGTGATAACGCTAATAACGTGCTCTCCGAACGTAGCCAATGTGTGCGTACGTATATGTGCGCGCGCACGTGTATATATACATGCTTACACACGCATGTAAACACGTATGTATGCATGCGTAATGTGTGTGTGTGGTGTGTGTGTGTGTGTGTGTGTGTAGTGTGCGCGCGCGTGTGGTGTGTGTGTGTGTGTGTGTGTAGAGCATAAAATCTCGAGTTACATATATTTTTCATTACGTGGCAATAACTTCTTCTGTAACTTTTAGATATTTATTTTTATATATCTATTCTGAAGTATGTATGTAAATCTTTTCATTTATAATCTTGTTTCAAAAAAACTTAATAAAATTTTTAATTTTAAATAAAATTCGGTTTACATTGACTCATGATTTCAAGGAAAGGAGATTTCTCTCTTCAACGATTACTTTGCAAAAAATATGTAATAGTTACAATATAAAATTTATATGTAATATCACTCAACATTACATAAAAATAAAATATTTTAAATGATATATTAGAAATCATAAGCGATCATCATATAATGTAAAGAAGATAACATGATTCAAAATTTTATTATCTATAATGTCTAGGTGAAAGTCATTATGTATAAGATTTTGTAAATATTTGTTTGAAAATGATTTGTTTATTTGCGTATATAAATTTTTCTTATAACGTATATCTTGCGTATATAAATTTATAACGTTAAACTAACCTGTGATGACAAAATTCTTGTACATTCATAGTGTTTACTTGTTGACGTTTTCTTTCAATAAATGAGTCTATTCTGCGATTTAATTCTTCCGAACTTGCTTGAATTTGTATGATACTTGGATCAATAATATCCTTATCTGGTATTTTTTCATTTATATTTGTGATTTTCTGAAATCTCTGAATCTCTGAATCTTCTGAATCTTCTCTCATCAAAGCTGTAGATTTAATAATATTTCTTATTTCTATGTTATAGTTAAAGAAAGATTTACTTCATCTATCTTCGTGTTAATGTTATGATACATATTTCATAACAAAACATGATGCAATAAAATTAAGAATTATACTTCTAATTTAAATTTATGTTTATAATGAGAATGTCAAAACACGTAAATGCTTATTCAGTAAATTATAAATGTTGTAGACAAAAGTATTAGAGCTTCAAAGTAAATATATAATTGCTTTTATTTTGGTATAAAATGTCATACTTTTCAATCTTTTAACTTAAAATTTTTAAATGAAACCTTATACTTTTGAATATATTAATAATTAATTGAATATATTATCAATATAGTTTTCCTGTCTTTACAAAAAATTATAAAATTATGCTTAAAGATTATTAATTTAAAAGTAATTTTACACATTATTTTGACATATTTTAAGATAAAATATGAAATATTTAAAATTTAATTTTTTCTACAACATTTTTAATTCTTAAAATTTTTGTATAGATTAAAAATATTGCAATTTTGTATGCACAAAAAAAAAGATAAATCAATCAGTATACAAGGTAAGATCATTGAGATGAGTGATCAGCTGAATTATATCTACAGTTTTGAAAATAGAAACAAATGCTTTAAGTTAAAATTGGTTTGATATTGAAAGAAACATCATGCGATAGTGGACATTTTCCCTCAAGTGGAAGCACTTAGAGAACTCAAGGTCCTAAAATTTTTTTTTTTATGGAATTATACATCATCGGACACTTATATGTTGATTGTAATCTTCTCCAAGACAGTTTGAATAGTTGTGGATAAGAAAAGTCATTCAAAATTATAGATAAAAAAAAAGTTGAAAAATGAATATTCATTGAATATTTTTAAAACAGAATATTCGGTTTTATTAATTGAATCAAAATCCGTTATAGATATTCAAAATGGTGATCGTCTACAGCAAGGCACTATCTAAATGTTCACCTATATATAGACTGCATTACATGTTACGATTTTAAATGCATTAAAATTGTAATTAATAAAATCATAATTAATAAATTCGTAACTGGAAACAAAATATTGTTTCCGGAAATATGATGAATTTTCATTTTTCAACTCTTGTTAATCTTGAGTGATTTTGATTATTTATAATTATTGAAATTGTCTTAAAAAGACTATAATCTTAGATATCCGACAATACATGGTTTCATTTAAAAAAATGACTTTCAAATCTTCTAAGCGTCTTCACCTGCGAAAAAATATTCATGATTACATGATGTCCCTCTTAATATTAAACAACTTTTAATATTTCAAGTATTTTTTCCTATTTTCAAAACCGTAGATGGTCGATCTTAATAATTCACCCTGTATAGAAGACTCATAATTTATAAAAAAAGAAATATGTAATTGAGCATTATTCAATTAATTCAAAAGTATGGAGTTTTATTTAAAAAATTCAAAGGGTATGCAACTTTAGAAAATGTGTATATGTATATGTGCGCGCGTATGTGTACGCATGTACATATGCATATAGTGAGAAAGTATACATGCACGATTAATAGAATCTAGAATTATAAAAAAATATGCGCTAAAAATAGCGAAAATATAAGGCATTTATAGAAAAAATAATTATTCAATGAAAGGAAAAAATCTTGTAGTATGCAAGCAAACAAAATTTATAAACTTCTATTAGAAAAATTTGATTGAAAGAATATAAAAGTAAATAACTCTCCAAGTATCCATGTAACAATGCAATACTGATAATCTTGTAGATAATAGAATGTTTCCTTTTTGTTATTAAAATTCCTTCGAATCAAAATATAAATCTTATAAAGGAAACATAGTTGTTATACATATTTTAAAAGACATGCTATTAAAAAAAAAGAGAAAGAGAAAGTTTGAAATAATTGATAATTAATAAATTATTTACTACTCCATCTACATTCTTTGTTTTGCTTCCATTGTTGTTCTTTCGTTTCGTATATTTCTTTTTTCCAAATAGGCACCGATGCTTTTAATGTATTGATAGCATATTCTACTGCTTTCAGTGCCTCCTCTCTATGAGGAGAAGAAACTGCTATCACGACACTTGCTTTCGATATCGGTACTTCTCCAATACGATGATATATTGCAATTCCTTCTACATCCCATTGTGAACGAATTTTGTTACAGATATTAGTCATCTCTTTCAAAGCCATTGATTCATAAACTTCATATTCTAACTTAATTACCTAAAAAATTTCAATTATTAATTTTATATTTATAATAAATATCAATAACAAAATCATTAGTCACAAATATTTGATTGTATCTCGGAAAAACAATTTTTATTATCATTCATCAATTCACTGATAGAATCTCAGAAATTTTATATTACATTTTTTTGTATTACATTTATTTTTATTTTATATTTTTCAAACATATATATGTTTGGAATTCAAAATTTGTCATAAATAACTTTCTATTGAAAGAGTACATTTAGTAAATTAACAACATAATGAAGAGTAACTTTTTTTTTAAGAATACATAAGAGAGATCTTTAGATAAAAAAGATTTTTAGATTAATTAAATTTTATAATATACTTTACCTTTTTATTTTCAAAATTATCTCGAGTGATTCCAACAAAACTTGATATTGCTCCACAATTAGAAAATGTCACTAATTCCATTATTTCTGCAATATTTAATTCTGCCTGTTGTAACTTGACAAAATTCTTTGATATGTCCATGTTATCCTAATATAAATAACAAAACAATACAATTTTAATTTTATTTAATGTTGCATTTATATTATTGTGATATTTTATTTTAATGAATATAAGAGTTAACACTACAAAACCAATTTTGATCTTATATGATTATAAATATGATTGTGAAGAAAAAATATAATGTATCAGATTCAAAGTATCTTTTAATTTTAATTTAAAATATCTAGATTAATTGTATATAACATGATTTCTATTAGTTTTACAAATAACATAACATTAATGTGTTCATATTAATGTTATGTATTGAAATTTTTTTCTACAGTATCTAATTTTATTAAAAGCTTGAACTAATTTATGTATTACGATCCAACGAAAATCCGCTCATCCTGCCCCTTGTATAAAGCAGTGAAGACAACGCTGACAACGCGTCGTGTTTGATGAATAACGAAGAAAATTGCGCGAGCCATAGACAAGTGCGAAAATTACATTGAATTTTATATCGTTTTATTAATTAAAGAGTTTATTTTCTTTCTTAGCGGAAACTCTCTTTTTTCGCGAATGAGCGAATAATATGAGAATGTCTATCGAGCGAGGGATCATCGCCGCGAATGCAACAGTCTTACATGATGTTTTTATTACATGTCTTCCCTTT